CAGTTCTTCTTTGACGAATTAAAAAATAGAAAAGTGAATTGCAATATCAACAGTAAACGAGTACCCACATTTTTCCTGCTGAATCCATTAATTGAATCGGTCCTAAGGCAACTGTTTAAAAAAATGGCATTACATATGGCTTGTACTCGTATGAATAAGAAATGGCTCTAGCTGTTAGGGACGGACAGACGGTCGCCAAAATCCCCTCCTCATACATTTGGCGTTTAACTCAAATTCAATAAATTAAATTAAACGGCGAGAACACTCCTCGTTCTTATTCTTGAAACACTTAACATAAATGGTGTGCTAAGTAGAATTGTTGCATTTCCTGGTTTCTCTGTAATTCAAAATTACAAATTTTTGAAATGTATCTCATGCTTCAACATTTCATTTCATTTAATTAGAACTAAAGGGGCATTTCATAGAAATTAATTTCAATTAAATGAGAAATCCGGAATAACTTGACATTATGATATGATTGTCCATTCCGCAACAATTTAATGGATATTGGAAATGGAAAGATGCTCGATTATTCATAACTCATATGAGGAACAGAAACATGTATATTAGCTGTGCGTCTAGTGGCTTGAATGATCCCATTTGTTAACAAAGTTCCTGCAAAGCGAATGTGAAATTATCGCGCTACATTAGTTGGGGGGGCATTGGCAAAAGGGCGAACGCGATGATGAAGAAGAAATCGTTGCCAAGAACTCTCTGCCCCACAGGAAAGTGAAAAAGCGCTGAAGCAACAACAAGAAGAACGACAACGGCAGCAGCAGCAGAAACCGCCATTTGCTAAAAGCTGTTATTAGCCTTCGGAACTGAAGCCGTAAATGTTAAGGGACGCCATCGTTCAATGTAACGTGCCATAATTTGCAATTTCCTTTCCACACACACACACACACACATATGCATATTCATACATATATACATGTATATATGTGTGCATGCACTTAGGTATAATTGATGTACTGAACTGCAGCAGAAGGTGGGCAAAAGGTAGACAAAAGCCGTAGACAATTCACGGTCAGCTCGCGGTTACAGGCTTGGTTGGGTGGGCGGTGGCGGCGGCGGTGGCGGTGGCGCACTGGGCTAATGACTTAGTGGAGCCCGGGGGTGGGGGGAGGGTGGCCAACAGACGGCACGAAAATTCGAATTGGCATTTTAATTTGTTTGTAATGCTTCTCGCTTTATACGCGTAGTTGCAGTTGTCGTTGTTGTTATTATTATTGTTGTTGTATACAAGTATCAGTGGCTAATGTTAATTTTCAAAGCCACATTGGTTCCTCGTTGTCGAGGTCAACTTTTGTACAAACTTCAATTGAAATTCATTTCCTCATGGCGGCAAACATACTCGTACAGCGAACAATAAACAGAAACAAAAACAAAATGATAAGCTTTTGCTTTGCATTTAATTTGACTTTAGCTTTGAAATGCGCGCGCGCTAATGCCTGCCCCTCTATATATACATACATACACATGTATATGGGTATGTACACAAATACATATATATATATATATATATATATACATGCATGTATGTGTATGTATATAAGTGTGTAATTATAAAACATTTTACAATTTACCTTGACCTTAACACAATAAAATAAATTACAACTATAACAAACGAAGCCAATTGCAATAACTGAACGGCACACACATACATATATATATATATATATATATATATATATATATATGATCATTAATAAATATGTACATACACGCATATACAGGGTGTTCTGCTATGGCTGTGCTAGTTTTTGAAAAATACAGCAATTTTCGTTGCTCTCTCCTTCTGTCATTTCCCCTTAAGCTTAACTTATATTTGATCGGCCCTGATATTAAAGGGCTGTGGAAATCCACAAATGTTAACCCGGGACTACTGCTGTCAGAGACAGCCTCCGATGCCATCCCTGTGGAGTAAATAGGCAATCGCAGTTGGTCTTGCAGTTGTTCCAGAGCCAAGTCAATAAAGTCAAGTCACGTTGTCAAGCCGTTAAGTCGTCGCACCTTTCTTTCTTCTACTGGAAAGTTATAAATAAAATGCAACATTACCAATTGTTATTCATACAATTATTAGTTAGATGTAAACAAACACCTCATAAGAAATCAAATAAACACCCTTCAATATGCCAGTAAACAAACCAATTAGTTGCAAAGAGTGATTCTCATATCTTTGAGAACATTTATTTTTTATATTTTTCCAATTCATCAACTTCAATGAAACGTAATTCTGTTGGTTCTTAATGAATACTATTTCAAAATTATTAGGAGTTCATTCTATGATCGTCCAAAGTTCTTTATGATAGATTTTTGAATTCCATTTCACTAGATACTGGAATTATTCGTTGTCTGTTGTGGATCGCATATGTGGATATCCAAAGCAATATAACTCATGCAGTTGTTCATTACTTAGAGAGTGTACAAGTATGTTAAGACGGCTACAAACTATTTGTAAGCGTACCAAATGAATTGCTCCATAAAACTTTAACAGACTTGGCGCTGCTTTTTTAATGTCTTTATACTAGTTGTACAGTTTTTGTTGTTATGGTTGTTGTAGTTGCAGTTCAAGCAACACATACCTACATACTTAAAATGTAGTTTGTTCATTGAGTGCAATAAAATCGGAATGGCAGTTTTCTGTCAGCAAAGCCAAACGATGGGCGTGGCAGGTGGCGGGCGCAGGTGGGTGTTTGCTCGCATACTGCCCACTAATAAATAAATGGCATGCAAACATTTTACAGTCAATTTAAATTAAACGCTGGCCAACGGATTGACTGATTGATGAACGATCAGTCGGACAAATGGAGCAACAGGTGCCACTAATTAAATACATGTCTATATGTGCATATCTATGTACATACGTATGTACTTGTATATAAGGCGTCAAGTTTGGCTAAATTCAGATATGTAGATTATGCAAAATCATTGTCACACGGATTGATTGATTTCGGTCCCATAAGCTACCACTTGATTATGTGCACACACATACATATATATGTATATCTATATATATATATATATATACATACATTTGTATGTATGTATGTATGTATGTAGCGTAGAATAGATTTTAAAGCTGGAGCACGAAAATGCTGTTAAGCGGCTGTTAGGGCGACTGTTAGCAGCATTTAAAGGCGAGTGGGGCGCGGCTGCGCATGGGCAGCGACTCAGACCATGACCAACAACCGTAAGTAGCCATAACAGGGTTGCACGACCCACCCATGGTCGCACAGTGTGTGGGGCGGGCATGGCGAGGCGGCATGCAGTCGTGCGTGTTGTGCGTGCGCAGTTGTGTGCTTTGCATTACAAATTAAAAATAATTATTTGCTCCTCTAATAATTTGAAACATTCACATATGTACATACATATGTACATGTATGTATGTACATAGATGCATACATATTTATGTACATATGTGTGTACAGGCGTTATAAAGTGTATGCACATACATAAGTACGTAAAGCGCCGTTTTCCTGCCAATACAACAGTTGGCTTTGTGGACGCCATCACTCCCATGTCATTGGGTTGCACTTGTTCATTGAGAAACAAGTGCAAGCCCCTGTTCTAGCCAAGACACACACCATTGATGGGCAACACTGGTCGTTGCCGCCGCCACCGCCACCGCCTCATGGCAAAAGGCCTTGATCTTGATCTCAAACAACAAATGAATGTATGTACATATATATGTATGTATGTGCATACAAACATATGTATGTAGGTATGTAAGTATGAACGGAACGGAAAGTAACAAAACCGACACGTACACGCATACACACACAGGAACAAACACATGCATTCATACATACATATGTACATACATACATGCTAAGAACGCTGGCCGCCAACAACAAAAAACGAGCCACGACAAGTTAACTTGATTGCCATTGCAATGAGGTTTTGTTGTAGTTGTTGCTATTATTTACTGCACTTGATTTGATTTAAAGCCCCCACAATATAAACAGCAACAGCCTAGCCAGCTAACCAGCTGGCTAACCTTGTCTTTGTCCGTTTTTGTTTTGTCTTTGCCGTTGCCGTTGCTTTGCACACCGCACGACCACCTCGCACATGCACTTGCACTTGTAGCCTATTACACACAGATGCAGTTTTAGTTGTTGCTCGTTTAATTGTTTATAAATATTTTTTAACTTTGCATTTTGTATTATGAATACTCATTTGTATGTAGACGTGCACTCAATATGATTCTTTCCCGCACAATCGTATTTCATAAACATACATACATACATATGTATTTGAATCAGCGCGCAAAGAGGATAAGTAATTATAGGAAGAATGCTCGCTGCTATACAACGCGCCCATCTACACGATCAGCTGACCAAAAATCCATTGTTGTTGCTAATCTGAAGTAGCCGTTGCGTTGATATACACATGAATTTATGTACATACATACATATGGTACACACATATTATGCGTGCAGTTACAAACTGTTGCCGTTAAGAAAGCCGTTGCTCCTTGAACACATTATTCTTGTCCTTTTTTGTGAATGTCTAATGCCTTTGCTGAAGATCAGTCGCGAGGTTTGCGCCCGGATCTACACAACGTAGAGGCATTTTAATGTTATAAACAAATCATAAATACGTACACACATAAATACGTTATTTTAAATTCCGAAAACTAATCAGAGATGCCCCACCGGTGCAGACTAGCCGTTGTTAATGCTGAACTATTGCTTAATGGCCGGGCGGGTGCGACGCAACTTCATTTTAGTAGTAAACGTTTTATTTCGCGAAATACAAAAATGAAGGGTCTACCTGTAAAATTGATAATATTGCAGCCCAATAGGCCTACAGTAGCAGGTGATAAATTATTATGAAGTGCTAATATACATACATACAAATGTATCTGATTGTCTGAAGTAAACTGGCAACTCTGGAAGGCGGCAAATAACAGTTATTCGCCTACGTAGAAAAAGATCACGCAATAAGAGTGCAGTTAGATCCTCGAATATTCGACGAACGCATTAAATTTACAGTTAGTAGACGATTAGCGCTCAACACACGCGGAGAAGCTAGTGCGTTTTTGTTTTCTGTAGTTTTTCTTTAATTCGATATTGAAATAACTGTCGCGAGTGTTTTCAATTGTAACAAATCAAGCAATTAAATATTTCACGCAGTAATGTAGGGTTACATGTACATGCATACATACATATGTACATACATACATATGTATATGTACATACATATATACATACTTATAGACTTTAATTAAAACGGTATGTACAAAGACTAATGAGAACTTTTATTTGGTTTTTTTCGTATATTTCCAGAAAAATACAATTGCCTGACGCCAGCAGAATTATTGCAGCGTTTAAGCAGCGGCGCCAGCTGCACACCAACCACATCCACAACCACAAGCACCACACCAATAGCAGAACCCACTACACCTGCAATCCCCACACCATCCCCAACAACAACCACAACAACAACAACAGACACAAAAGACTGCGACGAGAATTCGCGCGAATTCACGGCAACAACACCAACTCTTTCTATTATAGCAAGCATACCAAAAGCGAACAGCCCAAAGCAGCAGCCAATAGACGAAAACGTCGACGCAAACGCAAACACGGATGACGACGTTGACGTTGACGTCGGCATCGAAGCACCAAAGCCGCGTTTTTACGGCACGGGTGTTGTACTAACCCAAGCTCAACGTAAAGAATATCCCGTTGAGATTGTCAGTCGACGACGTGCTCCAATAGATTTTGATTTGGAAGAGGAGGAGGAGCAGAACAGTCGGCCAGATTTGCGCAGCAGTGACGCTGCCAGCAGCGACAGTGACTCTGACGGCGGCTGCAAACTTATTGTAGACGAAAAGCCTTTGTTGCCTGTAGACAAGCCATTGTCATTGCGTTTGCGCAACACACCGCCTCCGCCCGAAAAACGACCAAGTCCGCCGCCTCCACGTGAGCCGGCTGTACGCTGTAGCGTTATCCAGCGTGCTCCTCACGCCGGAGCACATCAGTCGCCCAGTAGCTCGCCCTCGCCTTCGCCCACCCTTCAGCAGAACGAACAAGATCAGCACCATCCGAATCATCAGCTCTATCAGCGCCCAGTCCCGGGTGACGTGCTCTTGCCCTTAAGCGCACTTGATCATCTCGGACCAGAACAACAGGAACCTATCGATTATCACGTGCCGAAGAGACGCAGTGCGTCCTACGATAGTGACGAGGAACTTAACGCTCGGCGATTAGAGCGTGCTCGTCGAGTGCGTGAGGCACGTCGCCGGAACACGATTTTGGCAGCTCGTGTGCTGCTCGCACAGTCGCAACGGCTAAATCCGCGCTTAGTACGCAGCTTGCCGGGTATTTTGGCAGCAGCAGCGGGACACGGACGAAGCACCAGTTCCTCATCTGGTGCTGCCGGTCAGGGTTTTCAGGCATCTGGCTTTGGAGGCAACGGTGGAGCTGCCGGCAGCGGACAGAGTCCTAGTGGCGGAGCCGGTTCGCCTAGCGGCGGTTTTGGTGGCGCACTCGGCGGTAGTGGAGCAGGAGGCGGTGGAATGGGTGGCGGACGTGACGGACGCAGCAACTACGGACCAAATTCACCACCAACAGGCGCTCTGCCACCATTTTACGAAAGCCTGAAAGGCGGCCAGAATACGGCCACCAATAATACGGCCGCACAGTCAGCCAACGGCCAATCCGCATTCAACGGAAATCCGAATTTTCTAATACAAAACGCAGCCGCAGCTGCCTATATAATGTCAGCAGCAAGTGGTAATGGAGGGAACGGAGGCGGGGGTGGTAGCCAGCAGTTTCTCAATTGTAATGGCGCAGGCGCCAATGGATCCACTGGAGGAGCAGCAGGAGGAGGAAATGGAGGTAGTGGTGGTGGTGGTGGAGTAAGTGGTGGTGGCACCCACGGCGCCGCTCATGATGGTAATAACATTTTGTACTTTGCCAATGGTCTTGGCTCTTCTAATTACAACGACTCCAATTCCAAATTCCATAATATACATTCTTCACCAACTGGCCATCCCTTTTATGGTGGCAATCCCTCAGCTTACGGCATAATACTCAAGGATGAGCCGGATATTGAGTACGACGAGGCCAAGATCGATATTGGAACCTTTGCCCAAAACATCATTCAAGCAACGATGGGGAATCCGGGAAACTTCAATGCCAGCGCCTACGAAGACGCTATCATGTCAGATCTGGCTACAGCACAATGTCCCAACGGCACAGTCGATCCGCTGCAATTCACCGCCACACTTATGCTCAGTTCCCAAACTGATCATTTGCTCGAACAGCTTTCTGATGCGGTCGATTTGAGCTCCTTTCTACAGCGAAGCTGCGTCGATGATGAGAACTCCACCAGTCCACGCCAGGACTTCGAATTGGTCTCAACACCATCTCTGACACCGGACTCTGTGTCAGTGACCCCCGTGGAGCAAAGTGTGGCCACCGCCCAGCTGGACGCTTTGCATGAGAATCTTTTGACGCAGCTAACCAACAACATTACTCGCAATGGTGGTAGCTCTGGGTATGGCTTTGAACGAAACAGTCAACAACATGTTGCAAATGCACAGCAGCAACATCTGCAGCAGCACCAGCAGCACACGCAACACCAGCAACAGCAACACCATCATCAGCAGCAACAGCAGCAGGCGCCACCGCCCTCATATCAGCATGCAACTCGCGGTCTTATGTTACAGCAACAACAGCAACACGGCAATTATCAGCAGACACAGCAGCAGAATTCGCTGATTCCACAACTAATGCTGCCACAGCAGCAGCAACAGCATCAAGCGCAGCAGCAACATCAATCGCAGCAACAACAACAACAGCATCATCAACACGCCAATGGCTATCAACAACAACAGCATAATCTTTACGCGCAACAGCAACAACAACACCAAGCCCAACAACAGTCACATCAGGCGCAACAACAGCATGCCCACCATGCCTTCCATCAGCAGCAACAACAACAGCAGCAGCAGCAACAGCACTCGCATCTACATCATGCACATCACCATGGCAGCGACAACAGCAATTTGTCGCTTCCTTCGCCAACTGCGGCCGCTGCAGCTGCTGCTGCAGTACATCTGTCGGCCCATCGTCCCATGTCGAGCAGCAGTTCGGGCGGTGGTTCGTCCAATGCCGGCGGCGGCAGCAGCAGCTCAAGCGGTCTGCTTGATGCAAATGTGGCTGCAGCCGCTCTGTTGGACACCAAGCCACTTATCCAAAGCGTAAGTTCCCTTCCTATAATATTTGACCCTTTACTACCCATGCAGCAGCCCAAAGACAAGAACAGATTTTGTGAGACCCAAGTGATCAGGCAATTGACCCCCCACAACACACAGGCTTTGCCATATGTATGCTTTCCGTCGACTCCCTTTAAACAGGAGAGCGATGTAGAATCGTCAAGAAGGGGCATCAGTGCGACTATTGTAAGCCGGAGTAGCCCCAGTAAAAAAAGCTGCAGCAACAAAGTTCAGCCCGAGGTTATTATCATACCCAAAACAGAGGGTGAGCCAGCATCTATGGACGCGGCAATGGATGCAGCCACCTTTTTGGGCAAGACAAAGAACCCTGAAGAAAATACTGATAAGCTAAGTGGGAATGGAAGTAGCAGTAGCGGTACCGGTGGCGGCAATGCAAAGCCGGGAAAGTTGAAAACCCGTGCCTGTGCTGCCGCTTATGGCACCACCTTAGTCACATTCATATCAACTACATCCACAAATAGTGAAGTTCCGCATCAAGCACCAACTGTGCACCGAACAACACTACGGTCTTTGGCTTCGGCAGCGGCGGCCACAGCGGCCGGCTTAATGCCGCCCTCACCCAGCGTGGCGATTCTGAATAAGAGCAAGATGTTGCAGCAGCGGGTAAGATGAAGAGAAACTTCTGCATCTGCCACCTGTTTGTTTGTGTTCGTCGTATGATTTGTTAACCCATTTTGAATAACAGATAGTTTCCCCATTATTGTTATGTCTTGTCGACCCTAATGCTTTGTAAATGCATAATGCAGATTGAACTAACTCGGTCTTTTTGCCCCACAGCTGGGCTTGCCACCGGATCTCCATCTGGAATTTGTAAATGGCGGTCATGGCATCAAGAATCCGCTTGCTGTGGAGAATTCACATGGTGGCCATCACCACCGCATACGCAACATTGATTGCATCGATGATCTCAAACACAGCCACCAGCAGCAGCAGCAGCAACAACAACAGCAGCAGCAGCAGCAACATTCCCACCAGCAACAACAACAGCAGCAGTCGCAGGTGGCTCCGCATCTTGGCCACAGTGGCAATGGAAACAACAACAGCCACAGCAGCAACAGTAGCCAAAGCAGTCAGAGCAGCGTCAAGGGTGGCAGCCATCATAACGGCAGTTTGGGTGATGTGAGTATGTGCGGCAGCAGTGCCAACGGTGGATCGAACAGCGCCGAGGATCCTGCCAACAAGTTTGTGTGTCGTGTGTGCCTGAAAACGTTCTCGCTGCAGCGTCTGCTCAACCGTCACATGAAGTGCCACTCGGACATCAAACGCTATCTGTGCACATTCTGCGGCAAAGGATTTAACGACACCTTCGACCTAAAGCGTCACACCCGCACACACACCGGCGTGCGTCCCTACAAGTGCAACTTGTGCGAGAAGAGCTTCACCCAGCGCTGCTCGCTCGAGTCGCATTGCCAAAAGGTGCACAGTGTCCAACACCAGTATGCGTATAAGGAACGACGCGCCAAGGTGAGTACAAAATTGTAATCCAATCGCGAATACTCCTTCGATTGTAGACACAATGCTGCAATCTATTAGGTTCGATATAGGCGTACTACTTCCCAATGCCATTTGATTCCAAAGTAATTCAAATTTTAACAAGATTCTGAAACTTTTGCGTAGCCTAAACAGCCAAGCATTAGGCTAGTAAGGGCTCACAAAAAAATGTGTATTAAAGAAATAGTAAAGAGAAATAAAGATTACCACAAAATTGAACACAAAATGGAAGCCCACCCATTTACCTGTGAAGCGACATACTTTTAAAATGTCTAAAAATCTAGGAAAGTATGTGTGGCAGAAATTAACTACAAACTTCTTTCAAGCTGAAACTGATTTCGTTGCTCAATAGATATCCTAAGTATATTTCACAACCATCGGCCAATTCAGTTGTATATATAGTATGTAGAATTAAACCTTTACCAACTTTTTTTATAAGGCTGAAAAGTAGTATGTAAAAACATCTTAGTTGAATGGACAAAATGAAGACGATCTGTGATCTTTTAGTTTAGATTCAGGGCATTGTTGTAAGTGTATCTTGAAGACAAAATGATTAAAATATTAAAACCATTCCAATATTAAATTCTTGCTTTATGTATGTAGTATATAAGGAGTTCGTATTCAATTTTTGTATTAAACTAATTGATTTGCTTCTTTTTTGATACAGATGTACGTGTGCGAGGAGTGCGGCCACACTACCTGCGAGCCGGAGGTCCATTATCTTCATCTGAAGGACAACCATCCCTACTCGCCGGCGCTGCTAAAATTCTACGATAAGCGCCACTTTAAGTTCACCAATTCGCAGTTCGCCAACAATTTGCTGGGCCAACTGCCCATGCCGGTGCACAACTAGGCGGTGAAGTTGTAGCTCCGCCTCCCCACATCACACTCTTTAGCTAGATTTATGCATATAATTACGGATATAGACATTACCTATGTATGTACTTAGCGCTATGTTGCTTAACGTGACTCTGAAGTTTTTGAAAACTGCCCACGGAAGGAGATTATGTTCGTAACTGTAGATTTTTTAGTTAATGTAATTAAAACTTTGGCTAGAATTTGCTGTGCAAAAAAAAAAAAAACAACAACATTATGGAATAGAAACACACATCTTAGGGGGCACATTTGAATAAGCTTAAAATATATTTTTTTTTATAGGTTAGATTTTGTTTTCTATTTTGTAGTTAAATTTTTCGCAAACCATGAATTTGATTTACTTGAGTTTCGAATTCCTTAATTTTTTTATATTTATTTTATTATAGCTGTTAAGCTTAAAATCCATTTTTGATATTTTTTTAAGAATAAAGTTCAGGCTACGCTTTAAGGAAAAGCTTCCATATGCCCGTCGAAAGTACGTTAGGTAAAAAGAGAAATAAAACTATTTACTAATTGCTTTAAGCAACCACGTAGTCTCCCTAAGTATTTAAAAAGTGGTAAGAACAACCACCAACGTTATATTTTGAGTTTAGCATTAGAATATAAGTACTTAGCAAAATGAACAACCGCAACCTTATGCATTTATTTACAAGCATTAACACAATTACACGAAACATTTTCACGATCATACCAAGTACCAAGTATAGGCAAGATTTTGACTGTTTGTAGAGCTATCTAAGTATATTAATGGCAGTACATAGCATATGCGTGAATAAATCAAAGTATAGCTACCAGAGCAGCGGAAGTGTAGCTGAGCTGATGCTCTACACTCAATGCACTAATATGTATTATGAAAAGGCATAAACCTACACTTTAAATATACATACGTATATATTCGATATATATATATTTATTACAAACTAATTACTTAAGAAACTCATACATACACACACACACATTAACACACATAAATACACATACGTCATGTAAAGAGGCAAAAACCAACATAAACAAGAAGTATATAATCAATCGAATAAGCCAATTATGTTTTTAGATGTAAGCACAAAACAATGATTTGATATATAAAGCTACTGCTAAATGCTTATGCTTATGTGTGCTGTTCATAAATGAAGTCAACGCGATAATTATATAGAGATTAGATTTATTTTTAGTATTTTTTATTAGGCATATAAGCAGCAATTAAATAATAATCAACATTGTACGCATTTTCTCTGAAGCAAAGCAAAAACTAATGAACGATTCTTTATTTTAATTTGTTGTAGCTAGCTTTAAACGAAAAACGAAATACTTTTAAGCATAACGGTCTACCAATTGTACTGATTTATAAACAAAAACAAAAGCAAACAAATAAGGAATACAAACGATACAATTTAATTTCTCTAGTTGGTACGCAAGTTTATTATAAAGGCTCTAGTTCTAAGGCATAACTTTGTTTGTGAACAGCAGCTGAGCAGCGAATTGAATTGAATTGTTTTTGACCTAGGACTAGAAATAATATTAAACACGTACGCGATTACTTTATCTCTTTTTTTTTTTTTGCTTAGCTACGTAAGCAACAACGGGTTTTTTGTGCAATCGCTTGGTGTTGGTTAACATAAACATATAAAATAACTAAAAACAAATGATGCAAAGTAATATTAGAGCTCCCAATGCAGCAGGCTAAGCATTGAATAAACAATTCAGGATGTCAACGCTGTCGCCTGATCTTGAATTGCTTGTCGGCTTAGATCTTTTCTTAGTCACGTGCACAACACGTTTATACACATACGAAGAACTTGGCATACATTTGGAACAAGATTTCTATGAATAGCACATATTTACGCCCCTCCTCTCATTCCATTTTTTTCTCTCAGTAAAACATTATTAAGCTTTAAACAAGGAACAAGAACTTACTCTAATTTAATTCTTTAATTTAAAAAAAAGAAGGAAAACGAATCGAACAAATTTATGAATATACTTTTTTTTTAGCATCACAAGAGAAATTTGCAAAATATTGCGTTTTGATTTGAAGTTAAGAAGTAAACGAACAATTGAAAATTAAAAGAAATCACATTGAATAAGCATATCTTTTTTCAATAATTATATGTATGTATACTATAAATATTACGAGAAGAAATTAAATAATAAATATTGAATATTAAACACAAAATGGCTTTCAATGGCTATAATGATACGGAGGTACTCCCAGAGGGTAGACCGGGTCCAACAACGAAAACACAAGAAATTGGGGGAAAAATTCTATTTATTTCTCAGCACCATAAAACTTTTCCGAGAAATGTCGAGCTCCTCAAAAGAGCTAACCATAACTTCATTGTTGGCAAGCCATTTTGTTAAAGTTTGGAGAATTGGGTCCATGAGAAAGGAATTCAAAATATGACTACGAGCTATGACTATCTATTTGGCCAAAGACGGAGGTGTTTTCCTGCTTTCTCACAATTTTGAAGATAATCAATAAAAACAAGGGAGAACGCTACAGTCGAGCAAGCTCGACAGTGAAATACCCTGTACCCAGGTAAACTTCCGGCACTGTGCGCTTTTAGCAGAAGCAAAAAGAGGAAGAAAAAGAGCGAACTTGTTGCTGCAGTTTGGGGGGATTGTACTGGCGAGAATTTGTTTCGCTAATAACTTTTCTTAGAATTGACCGAATTGGATAAAATTTAAACAACAGTAGATAATTGTATAGAAATTATGTGTGCAAAGTTTGGTTTAGGTAGCATTTGAAATGTGGACGCTATTGACGAAATTCTGTAGCGGGGGAAGGGGGGCGAAATTCCAAAAAATAAAATAAACTCGTCTTTTCTCGGACCTAGGAGAATCTGGATGCCAACTTTGGTTATTCTAGCTCTTATAGTTTCTGAGATCCTCGCGTTCATCCAGACGGACGGACAGACGGACGGACATGTTTAGATCGATTTCTCTCGTCATGCTGATTCAGAATATATTTACTTTATGGGGTCGGAGATGCTTCCTTCTGCATGTTACATACTTTGCACAAACCTAATATACCCTTTTTACCCTACGGGTACAGGGTATAAAAACTCGCCTGCAGATAGAACAGCCTTTGGAGCCGATTCTTCTTCACTTTCAGTTCATTGTTGTTGACTATTTCAGATATGAAGTAATGGACTCATGTTATGAATCGAGAAGAATCAAAGAAGCAGACTCCCCCAGAATGTGCGTAACTCTGTTTTGTAATTAAATAAATAATTGTGGATGATTATATAATAATATTAGCTTTGGACGCTAAAAGAACGACATAGCTCCTGGGGATACACTGTCAGACTTGGCAACCCACATAACGATTTTTGCAGAAGCTGCTAGAACGCAGAAGGGGAAGAAAGCACAGATTATCTCCTCTGTCGCTGCCCTGCCTTAAACAGGCACAGATTTGCGGCACTAGGGCGACCATTTCTCAGCAATCTAGCAGAATAATCCAGTATTGAGACTTCGAGATTAACTAAAGTCCTTAAAGGTGGTTTAGATGGTTTGGAGCGCACCATCACAATAAATAGAGATTATATGGCATCAGAACGGGCCTCTTTGGCCTAAGTGGGCGGGTGAGAACATCACCCAGCCATCGGAACCTAACCTAACCCATGGTATTATAAAAAAATCCATATCATAAGGAGGACGACATTCCTCCTGTTGGAACGTTTTCAAATCAGATTCAGTCTGCTTTCCAACAGCCACAGGGATCGTAAACGTGAAGAAAAACTAACCATACAAGGATATAAGTTCTGAGGGGAGTTGGCCGACATTCCTCCTGTTGGAACGTTTTCGAATCAGATTCAGTCTATATTCCAACAGTCACAGAGATCGAAAACGTGAATTAAGAAAAATTAACCGCATATAAGTTCTGAGGAGAGTTGGATGAACTTTTTTTATGCGCAAGGGCAACAAAGAGTGCATTGTCAGTGCAGTCGATCGCATGCCATATTCCAATTAGTAAGTACAAACATCTAACTCGCCAGCCCCATTAAAATGCAACAATGTTCAATTATTGAATCGCAAAAGTCAGATTACGCAAAAGATGATGAGGTAAGTCGATTAGGCCGACGCACCTGGTGCCCTGCCATTTCAATTGTAGATGGTCAAAAAGGGGAAAAAGGGCAACTCCCGGAAAGGGACAGTCGCTGACCAATTGATTGCCACTGCTCTGAATTGAAACGATTTGCATTTTGTTCAAATATTTTGTATTTTATTTCGCTAGTTTCATTATTTTTATATTCGGTGTTTTTCCATTTTTTTGTTAGTTTTTCTTCGTTTTTTTTTTACAATAATTACTGAAATACACACACAGACACGGAATTACAATAAAAACTAGATTTCTCATTTGCTTCTTGTTCACATTAATTAATTATATGTACCGCTTATTATCAATTATGTTTATATGTGGTATCTGTTGGGCTTTTTCTTTTAGAGTTTTTGTTTTTAGTTGAACTAAGGGCTTAGAAAATTTCATCTATTAAAAAATCGGTGAGTGAACAGAAAGTATTAAATAAAAAACAATTTTCATATTTTGAGCAATCTTGCGCCAATTTTGTTGCTTTGTTTTAATATTATTATTATTTTATTTGTTTATCTATACATATACTTAAACTTTTTATATATAATTTATATATATATAAGTATGTATATTCATTTACTTTATTGATATGAACCACACGCACAGGCAGGAAATAAAACACAAGTACCGAACCAATACTACGATAGATGTGGGGGAACAGAATTATTTTAGAAACAAAACCAAAACATTACAATTTAAATGATGCATTTATTAAAAGTGGTATATAAAAATAGTTAAATGTATTCTCGTTCTGTATGAAGTTCAATAAAAATATACAAAAAGATACAAATACATAATACAAGTATACTATATATGTAGACGCTGGTAAGTATTGTTTATTTTATTATACAAATAATTATAAGCATAATAATTAAAAAATAGCTGCACGAGTCTCGACATGGTTTCCTGGCCGTTTAGTTATTCAGTAAAAATGAAGATCCTCATTAGAAATGATTTCTTTATCTTATTTGTTTCTCCACAATTCCCTCCTCATACATTTATTTTCGAGTTTTTTGGGAGCTTCTTCTCATACACATCAGTTTTTATAATTATTTATTATTGTTTTAATGGTAGCTTATATAGAATCTAACACTAAAAACAGACACATTTTCGATTTTATTTTCATTTTTATTCATGTTTGTATATAACTTTTATTAATATATATATATATATATATATATATATATAGATATATATATATATATATATATATATATATATATATATATATATATATATATATATATATATATATAGTATATATGTATATATATATATAGTATATATGTATATATATATCTACATATATATAAATATATATATATATACATATAGTTGTTGTTTTACATAATTTACGTTCGACATTTATTAAACATTTATTTATTTGCAGTTTGCTTTTGTTTGTTTGTTGTAATATGTTAAAAATGCTTCTAAAAATTGTTTACCATATTATATTAATTGTTCTTTATTGTACATGCTACACATATATGTTTTGTTTATAACTTTTTAGTTTGTTCGCGTTCAAAAATTTGTTCTGTTCATGTTTGCTTTGCTTTCATTTTTGTTGTTGTTATACTATATTTATATATCTATATATATATACATATATATATTTCTGTATATATATATATATGTATACATATACTGTGTTTTGTTTTTACTGATTTGTTTAGTTTTATATAATACTGAAAATACGACTAGACATTCATAGAATATAAATATGTTTTGCCTTTTTATAATTTATTTAAATATATATATATATATATAATTTTATATATATATATCAATTTATCGTGGGCTTTATGTTTTGTTCAGATTGAAAACTTTCGGACTTGTTTCTCCAAAATTCCTTAAAGACTTCTGCATTGATTCATGATCATCGTTTAGGGCGTGTCAGTGTCACAAGATTTTATTACAGTAGTAATTTTTATATATATTTGTAGTCTCCTAATATCCATATAAAAAAAGGAATATGGCTGCGTTAAACAATCGTTAACAAACATAAATGGGCCTGCATTTAAGGCGACGACAACGTAACACAAGAAATTGGCTTTATTTGATTTATTTTTTATGCTATTTTAAACTCATTTCAAGCATCAACAAATTTTTTTAAAGTTCATTAAAAACCAGATCAATTTTCTTTCGATCGCATCTCAATTATAATTTCAATTCTGCCTCCGTTAACATTAAAAAACAATTTTCTTTCATATTATTTGTATATACTATATATATATATATATATATATAGAGAGAGAGAGAGACTTTTGTTTTGCTTTTCTTTGTTATTATCATTAGGTTTTATGTAGTGTAAGTAATATACGATTCATTGTTTTCTCATTTTTTGTTATATATGTTATGTTCGAACTACACATTAAATATATATATGCATGTATATATATTTATATAAATTTATACGCTCATATTGAATCATTAAAAGTTTTTCTGGAAAATCGCA